ATCTTTCCTATCTGCTGGTAAGGCTTTTGTGACATCATCGTTCTGGTTTGCTGTAAATATTAAGCCTTTATCATCATTTAGTTGTACCATAAAGACTTTGGGCTGGTAATAAGTGATGGTAATGACAAAACTAGGTCAAATGGATTGATAATTTGTAAAATGCCGATAAGACTTCCTTCAGGCTGGCTGGTTAGCTCAGCTGGTTAGAGCATGGTGCTGGTAACACCATGGTCAAGGGTTTGGATCCTCTTACCAGCCAGCCACCAAAAAATAAAAAATAAAAAAGACTTTCCTTCCAGAGGATGTTAGATAAGACATCAATAACTGTTTTTATTAGATGACCTTTTATCAGCCTGCCTCAGGCCGGACGGGTAGCTCAATTGGTTAGAGCATGGTGCTGATAACACCAGGGTCAAGGGTTCCGATCCCAGTACCAGCTGTCAAAAAAAAAAAATCTAAACTATCAGCCCACCACCTTCTCGGACACATAGTTATTCAATCAGTAATATAACTTTTAGATGTCTTGTGTGCAGGAACCCAGCCCCTGGTGCTATGCACGTATGCTTTCAGGGTGGGGGAAGGGTGGGAAGTGTGGAGCACTGGGGGTTGTGATGTGCTAGAAGACTAAATGCTGGAAGAAAGCATTTCCTCATTTTTCCAGATTAGAAAAATGAGGCCCAGAGAGGCAAAGTCATTTGCCTCAGGCTACACAGCTAATGGCAAAAGTGGAGCTAAAATTCATCTTGTAGTCAGTCCATATATACTTTTAGTCCATATATACTTTTAGAGCAGTTTTAGGTTCAAAACAAAATTGAGAGGAAGGTACAGAGAATTCCCATATACCCCTGCCACATATGTGCATAGCCTCCCCCATTAACCAGAGTATTTGTTACAGTTGATGAACCTACATTGACACATCATTATCAACCAAAGCCTGTAGTTTACATTAGGCCTTACATTTGGTGCTATACTTTCTGTGGGTTTGGACAAATGTATAATGACGTATGTCCTCCATTAAAGAATCATATAGAGTATCTTCACTGCCCTAAAAATCCCCTATGCTTTCACCTATTTATCCTTTCCTGCACCCCTACTCCCAAACTCCTGGAAACCACTGATCTTTTTACGATATCCATAGTTCTGCCTTTTCCAGAATGTCATATAGTTGGAACCATATAGTATGCAGCCTTTTCAGATTGGCTTCTTTCACTTAATAATTTGCATTTAAGGTTCCTCTATGTGTTTCCATGGCTTGACAGCTCATTTCTTTTCATCACTGAATAATATTCCATTGTCTGGATGTACCACAGCTTATTTATCCACTCACCTACTGAAGGACATCTTGGTGGCTTCCAAGTTTTTGGCAATTTTGAATAAAGCTGCTATAAACATCCATGTGTGGGCTTTTGTGTGGACAGAAGTTTTCAGCTCATTTGGGTAAATACCAAGGACCTCAATTGCTGGATCATGTGGTGAGAATATGTATAGTTTTGTAAAAAACTGCCAAACTGTCTTCCAAAATGGTTGTATCATTTTGCATTCCCACCAGCAGTGAATGAGAGTTTCTATTGCTTCACATCCTCACCAGCATGTGATATTGTCAGTGTTCTCGAGTTTGGCCATTCTAATAGATGTGTAGCGATATTGTTGTTTGTTTATTTATTTATTTATTTATTTCCTTTTTGTCTTTTTTACTGACCGGTAATGGGATCGCAACCCTCGGTGTTGCGCCCGCACCGCGCTCAGCCAGTGAGCAGGAACCGGTCTCCACATGGGATCTGAACCCTCAGCAGGAGCGCCGCCGTGCTCCCAAGCGGCGCACTCTCCAGTGCGCCACCAGGCTGGCCCGTGATATTGTTGTTTTAATTTGCATTTCCCTGATGACATATGATGTGGACCATCTTGTCATATGTTTACTTTCCATCTGTACATCTTCTTTGATGAGGTGTCTCTTAAGATCTTTGGCCCATTTTTATATCGTGTTGTTTGTTTTCTTTTTGTTGAGTTTTAAGACTTCTTTGTATATTTTGGATAATAGTCCTTTATCAGATGTGTCTTTTACAAATATTTTCTCCCAGTTTGTGTCTTGTCTTTCTCCTTTTTTTGACATTGTCTTTCTCCACGTGCCTTTTCACATACTCATTAGCAGTTTTTCAAATTGTAATTTACAATCCATTAGTAAGTTGCAAAATCAATTAGTGAGATGTTACTAGCATTAAAAAAAATAGAGCAGAATGGAATAGAAAAGATCAGAGTGCATCACTGGTAGGAAGGATAAGTAATATCTTTTTTTTTTTTTTTCCCTTTTTGTCTTTTTTCGTGACCGGTAAC